AGACCAGCCCGTCTGGCACCAACAACCATGCCATGTTCAAAGTCACTTAAATCCCCTTTCTTCCCCATTCTGATGCTCGGTTTGAACTTCAGCAAGCCGCCTTCTCCACATCTAGATGCCTAAATGCATTGAGTTGCTGCCACGTGTTTGGCTGATTAGCAATTTGTGTAACCAAGCAATTGAACGGGTGTACCTAATAAAGTGTCCAGTGAGTGTAAATGCATACAATTGTATGTATGTAAGTGCCCTGTAAATGAGGCCTAAAAAGTAGGATTCCATGCGTGCCATCTAGGGTTAGGGTTTTTGGGCTCTACACACCAAAATATGCATTCAGTTATATGTGTTGATTTTATGATCCAAGCAGTCTAAAACATTTACAGAGGGATCTCAAATACGTTGGACAAGTTTATTTTAGCCGTGACACTGAAAAAAAACAGTTTGCTTCATATAAAGCAGATGAAGGGATGAAACATGCCAAGAAAACAGAGATGTAGGAAAACAGCCAAAATAAACAGTGATGAGAGTAACGGTATCCAGTTTGAAAACACTGTGAGACAGAGAGCATTTTTCAAAAAAAACACCCAAAGTGCACTGGTGTTCACCATTTAAATGGATGACTTATTAACAAATTTGGGTGTACAGATATGTTGTTTTAATATCTGGATTAAAGAAGAAATCTAATCAACATGCAGTATGGTGTGACACCAACTTACGTGTATCAGCTGTTTGGCTGCCAATGCCCAGTTCATATTAGTGGCAGCTTTTTATCAGTTTCCGGGACATAGTCTACTTTACGTTTGCATGGGAGGGGGGGGGGGGGGGGGGGGGGGGGGGGGGGGGGGGGGGGGGGGCGGGGGGGGGGGGGGGGGGGGGGGGGGGGGAGGGGTAACTGATGTCTGGTTAAAATGGCCCTTGTTTGAACTCCTACTTGGAAGGAAGAACTGGAAATGTACTTTTAGGTTTTTATCTTAGTAAAGCTGCCTATACACATAACCCATAGATCCTCCATCTATGCTAAATCAATGGAAGGATCTCCCACTGCCTGCTGTTGTATTTTGACAGCTGTCACCTGTGCCTTTCAAAATACAGTGACCATGGCTGATTGGCTGCAGTCACTGTTCAGCCGACATTTTTCTGCCTGGCTCTGATTTCTCATCGTTTGTTGAGCCAGGTGGTGTTTGCAGGGCTACCTGCAGCTTGTATTTCAGCTAGCTGATTGACAGGAATCGTGTGTGGCCAGCTTAGACCACACAATAGAATTAACCTAGAATGTAACACTGACTGGATGCTAATATACAGTCAGTGGCACAACAAGCAATATAGCACAGAGGCTAAATGGTTAACACTTCCGCCTTGCAGTACTAGGGTTGTTGGTTTGAACCATGGCACCACCTGCCTGGTGTTTGCATGTTCTCCCTGTGCCTGTGTGGGTTTCCTCTGGGTACTCCAGTTTCCTCCCACACTACAAAGACATGTTGGTAGGTGAATTGGCTCCTGTGTAAATTGGCCCTAGGATGTGTATGTATGAATGTGAGTTAGGGACCTTAGATTGTACGCCCCTTGAGGGATAGGGACTGATCTGAATGTACAATATATATGTAAAGTGCTGAGTAAATTGATGGCAATGTCAGACTCTCTTCATGGGGGAGGGGGGTGTTGGTCGGTGTCAGGGTATCTCCGTGGGGGGGAGCCTATTTTTGTGTTGTCTAGGGCAGCACAAAACCTAAATACACCACTGGATCAGGATCACGCCTGTTCAGGAGCCGCCATAGCAAGCTGCTTGCTATGGGGGCACCCGACAGGAGGGAGAGGCCACAGGAGCACTGGCCGGGGACCAGAGAAGAAGAGGATCAGGGCTGCTCTCTGCAAAACCACTGCACAGAGCAGGTAAGTATGACATGTTTGTTAATTAAAAAAAAAAAAAACACAAGATTTTAGTATCAATTTATTTAGGCATTAGACTCACCCCTTTTTACTCAGATTTGTATCAGGCCAACTACCTTCCAATATTTCGTTCTCTCAGGCATCTAATCACTTCTTGGTCTGCCTACCCCATCTAATGGATGGGAAGAATCAATGCTATTAAAATGACCATCCTCCCAAAAATGTTGTATTTATTTCGCACCCTCCCCATCCTGATCTCTTCTTTCTCTATCATATCCTTTCAAAACTATGTTATGTCCTTCTTTTGGCATTCCCGCCTGCCTTGATGCCTTTGGTGTACCATGTACATCCACCGACATCAGGGAGGCTTGGGGGTCCCAAACCTACCAAAATATTATCAAGCAGCTCAGATCACTCCCCTCATTGCCTTATATGCTGCTAAGGAGCCTCCTCTATTGGTGGACCAAGAAGCTACATTTTGTGGCTCTATTAACATACAACCCCTACCGTGGACGCCCCCCACTTTACACCCTTCTACATTTAGCCTTCTCATGAAACACACCCTCAGCCCTCTCATGAGTTTGGGATGGTGTTTAATACTCCAGTAATTTACTTTCTCCTTATCTCCCTTTGCTTCCTCTCCGAGGCAACCCCCTCTTCCCACCAGGTCTCAACTCTTCTCTTTCCTTTGCTGGTAGATCATGCACAAGTTTAACGTTGTGTTTTCTTTTTTTGAGAATGACTCAATTCTCTCATGGCAAACCATCAGAGAGCGCTTCAAAGCAACGGAGTTCTTCTGATATATGCATCACTGGATCACTAGTTTCATTCAAGAAAAAGACCTTTCCACATCACTTACCACCTTTGAACACACCTGCCACTGCACCCCACTGCTTAAAAGATTATCTCTCTAGTATACTTCCAGCTTAACCAATTATCCACGCCAACAGCTCATGCCTATGAGGCTCGGTGTGGGAGGAAGATTTGAGGTCCCACAAGCCTGCCTTGGACTGGCAGGCCATCTGGTCCTCCACTGCCTCCTGCACTATTAAAGTTTCTACCCCAGAATCTGCCAACAGAGTAATGACCAGATAGTATAGGGTCCCTTCCAGACTTGCCTATATTATCCTTGGATACTCAGGCCTATACCAGGTCCCTGGTGATATCCTTCATATTTTGGAGGACCTGCCCTATGCTGGGCTGCTTCGGGGCCAGGATCTTCTTGCTGTTGCGTTCACTACTTGGAACGCCACTTACTAAAGACCCTTGGCTGGCCCTCCTGCATTTTAAACCCCTGACCATTGCTAAACACCAATTCCAATTGGTCCACTTTGTTCTGTTAGCTTCTAAACTCACAATTGCTAAGGCATGGAAGAAGCAATTCAACCATGTTTCAGAAGTCGAATCTCACCTGGATGGAATTTTTATTAATGAGCAATTGACTAGTATTCTTACTAATACTCATGCAAAATTTCTTAAAATCTGGAGCCATTGGCTCACATATCAACATCCAACAACTTCCTTGGCGAGCCTGACAGCCGCATAAGTGGCCCCCCAGTGGACTGGACACTCCCTGCATCACGGCTCCTCCTTCTACCCTCCTCTTTTCCTCTTTCTTCTCTCCTTATTTCTCTTTCTAATGGAACCTAAGTTTAGATAGATGCCATGTCTGTCACCTAGATCAATCAATAGTTTCAGTCTTATGGCTGCTATCTCTTTCACTGTTTTGTTATATTGACCAATCATGGACTGTGCCACCTTGCTGTACCATTTTTGTTATGATCATTGTTTGTTGACATATTGGTTGCTCAACTTATGGACATCGATCGGTAAAAAGTATTTATATCTCTCTTTAAAATAAAGCAAAATAAGACATATTGAAAAGAAAATGTTACTCATGTAACAACAATACTAAAGTACATACTTCATACATATGTTAGTTTTCAGATCAATCCCTGTGGTGCTCCTTGGATACAAGGCTATAGTTATATACAGGGCTTTGGCTTCTGTCCAAGTGGTGATTAGCTTTGACCCCCCCCCCCCTCCATGGCATGGCAGGACTTACTATTAACTTGGAACAAGACTGACAGAATCTTGAAAGTACATTAAGGTACATTTCAGATGGTTAGGTGCAGATCTAACACCAAGCAGGGAAAATACAGCATGAAAGAACAAAACCTCCCCAAATTTTACGTTGTTTAAATAGTTTGTTAAATAGTGGTGCTGTAGTCACCACTACAGCAAAGTACAATTTGAGTACAATAAGTAACACATCTTGTCCACCTTAGTTATTTATGCTGCAGTATGGGTACCTGAAAAGCAGCCAGCAAGAATAGAAGATATCTGTGCCAAGTGCTACAATGTAAAGGGAAAGCACCAGACAACATTACTCATATTCATTATTCATATATTTTTAGCCATATTTTCACCCCAAAATTTTACGTTGTTTAAATAGTTTGTTAAATAGTTACAGCTATTTTTAGCCACCTCTGAATAAATTAAATCTCAATACATCAAATAATCAATTATATTTCAGATAGTTTTTGATAAACCATCAAAATTAGCTTTGTGGGTGGCCCTCTTGGCACCAACTAAACTGACATCCATCGACTGAAGAATCAAAGGAGCTGGGTGGAAGATTGTCAGCTGAACAGCTGTTTGGGTATCTTGACAGCTGGCAGTACTGGCTGTCAGAATACATTAGCATACATAATGTGGCTGGAGGAAGCTCCTAGTTGTTTTATTTGTTCAGCCTGCAGGCTGAATGCAAAATGTCTATGTGTGTATGGCCAATCTTAGTGATTGGTTCGCTAGGGAGTTACAGAACTCTTTACAGTTCTGGTGGCGTACACGCATCCTTCTTTTTCTTCAGTTTGTTAAACTTCAACTCAGTGCTTGTTCTGCATGTAACCCAGGCAGTACATTCTGGTTATCATCTGTTAAATGATATTAATCTTCTGATGACCTCAGGATAAATTATTATTTGTTACAATCCTTTACAGCCCTAGCTACAGAAATGTAAGCTCCCTTTGGTGTATGTACAAGACAATAGAGATCCTCCCATTACATGTGCCCAGCCCATGTCATGACTTCCTAGCACTGCTTGAGACACTCACAGGATGATTCATTGTAGTACACATTGATCCTCTCAAGCTGCAGGGCTGAATCACCGGCGTAGCTTCCTGCTGGATCGATGCCATGCTCATCACTGATCACCTCCCAAAACTTGGAAAGAAAAAGAATAAGAACAGAGAGGAAATGAGTCCAGGTTAGAACTTGGGAAAACAACTTCTACACTTATGATTATCTTGGATAGTTACACAATTAAACAACATTTTCTGAACTTGATTTGTAGGACGAGAAATATCTTAATACAAAATAATAAAGCAATGCATACAGAAAAATATCATTTTTCTGCAAGAAAATAAGGATGATGAGCAAGCCCATGTAAGATCTATAAAATCAGTCCTCTACAGAGTGCCATCATCTTGTGTAAGGGCAATAGAGGCAATGTTCAAATTAAATAGCACATTGAATACTCGGCTCTTCTTCTGTCCATGCCACCAACCATTCCATAAAATCCAGTGCCTGAAGATCCAGCAAAATGTGACACTTGTGGAAGTGTAAATTTTTTGGTCCTGCACTACAAATAGTTGTTCTTCCCCATAGAGGCCAGTGAATCGAACCACTAAGCAGGGAAGAAGGAATATAACTGCCAAAAATGTTAGATTCCTGGTCCCCTGCTGTGCTCAGAGATGCAATCTGTCAGTAGGAGAGGTGAGTTTTAAAAGAGGCGAGGTTTTTTTTTTTTGGTGTTTTAGGCATCTAGTTCAAACCAAGCATCAGAATGGGGAAGAAAGTGGATTTAAGTGACTTTGAAAATGGCATGTTTGTTGGTGCCAGACAGGCTGGTCTGAGTATTTCAAAAACTGCTGATCTATTGTGATTTTCACACACAACCATCTCTAGGGTTTGCATAGAGTGGTTTGAAAAAGAGAAAATATCCAGTGAGGAGCAGTTGTATGAACTGGTTGGTGTTAGAGATCAGAGGTGAATGGGCAGACTGGTTCAAGATGAAAGAAAGGCAATAGAGACCCAAATAACCACTCGTTACAACCAAGGTATGCAGAATACCATCTCTGAATGAACAACACGTGGAACCTTGAAGCAGATGGGCTACAGCAGCAGAAGACCACACCAGGCGCCACTGCTGTCAGCTAAGAACAGGAAACAGAGGCTACAATTCGCATAGGCTTACCAAAATTGGACAACAGAAGATAGGAAAACTGTTTCCTGGTCTGATCAGTCTCGATTTCAGCTGCAGCATGTTGTGTTGTGTGGACAAAAATGCCTTGTTTATGTGAAAGGTCAGAGGAGAATGGGCAGACTGGTTACTGCGACATTCAGGGTTAGAATTTGGCATAAACAACATGAAAGCATGGATCCATCCTGCCTTGTATCAACAGTTCAGGCGTGGTGGTGTAATGGTGTGGGGGAGATTTTCTTGGCACACTTTGGGCCCCTTATACCAATTGAGCATCGTTTAAACGCCATGGCCTACCTAAGTATCATTGCTGACCATGTCCATCCCTTTATGACTACAGTGTACCCTTCTTCTGATGGCTACTTCCAGCAGGATAATGCACCATGTCACAAAGCTCAAATCATCTCAAACTGGTTTCCTGAACATGACAATGGGTTCACTATACTCCAATGGCCTCTCTCAATCCAACAGAGCACCTTTGGGATGTGGTGGAACGGGAGATCCACATCATGAATGTGCAGCTGACAAATCTGCAGTAACTGTGTGATGTTATTGTGTCAATATGGACCAAATTCTCTGAGGAATGCACCCAACACCTTGTTGAATCTGACATGAAGAATTAAGGCAATTCTGAAGGCAAAAGGGGGTCCAACCTGGGACTGGCAAGGTGTACCCAATAAAGTGGCTGGTGAGTGTGTATGCCCCACATAATGTTTCCAACTACCAATATTTTTTAGGCTGCCTCCTCACCACATTTTGAATACCTCTGTGATCCTACCTCATAACAAAGTACATTAGGTGCAATGTAAAGATCCATACATTCCAGATTCTCTGATTAAACAATACTACTTGCTATACATAAATGGAGAACACAGTATTGTAGCACACCAAAAATAAATATAAATGTAGGACAATCTTACTAAACAAGGTCTTATTCTGTCACTAAAGCTGGACTTTAACCCTTTTCCTTCCTTCCACCACAGTTACCAGTTCTGTCATAGCTATTTCTCCTTGGAGGACTCACATATAAACAAACAACAATTTTAGTTCTGAAACCACACAGATACAGAAAAGAATACATTGTAAATAAGATCATAACTGATGATTTGTTATCCATTTATAATAACCTATTAACTCTATATTTTAGAAGTATCGGCTTCAGCCTGTAATAGCCGTATGGCAATGGATGTACCCTGCCACCCTTGTATGCCATTATGTTTTATATCTATTGTTATTAATTATCACAATATAGGGATACAATGACTCAGTGTATTTATTGCTACATATACTTAGGCTGCAGTGGGAATTGGACTAAAGAGCATGACATCTGGGGGGCGTATGTGAGGGCAGAGAATATAAATCTGTCCCATTCCATTTGCACAGAATCAATAAAAATTCTCCTTTTCAGAAAAAAACATGTACACCTTCTGTAGTTCACATAATATCCCAAAGAGAAATGATCAGGATTAGAAAAAATAGAAATCTGCATCCAGAGACAGGTTAGATACTCTAAATGCATGTACATTTAAATGCAGGAGAACAGTTACATAGTTACATAGTTAGTCTGACTGAAAAAAGACAAAAGTCCATCCACTTCAACCAAAAAAAAAGTTATAATCCTATACCCACAGTTGACCCAGGGGAAGGCAAAAAAACCCAGCAAAGCATGATCCAATTTGCTCCTGCAGGGGGAAAAATTCATCCTAACCACGGCACCCTCTGCCTGGAGTTTGCATGTTCTCCCTGTGCCTTCATGGGTTTCCTCCGGGTACTCTGGGTTCCTCTCACACTCCGGTTTCCTCCCACACTCCAAAGACATGCTGATAGGTGAATTGGCTCCTGTCTAAATTAGCCCTAGTATATGTATGTATGAATGTGAGTTAGGGACCTTAGATTGTACACCCCTTGAGGGTTAGGGACTGATGTGAATGTACAATATATATGTAAAGAGCTGCGTAAACTGACAGCGCTATATAAGTACCTGATATATATAAATAAATAAATTCCTGATCTCCGGAGAGGCAATCGGATATTCCCTGGATCAACTTTACCTATAAAAAGTGAACTGAGAAGTATAAGGGCTCAATCACACCAGCAGTCTGCGTTCTACTGTGGCCACTGGTGTGCACTGTGAAGGAAACAGGAGGACGTGCTGATTACAATCACATCTTTTTTTTTTAAACTTTATTGATCAGACATTTTATTCATCTTGATGCATAATAACCCACTGTGGCATAAATTGCACACCTTGTCATACCTTTTTAAGTGCACACCACCATTGCGGGATGGTGAGAACTGGGCACAGAACACAATGCAAGTTGTCTGCCCAGTGTAGCCCAACGCATAGTTGTACGAATGGACCTGAAATGTGTTTATTATTTGCAGATCAATTACTCTGCGCTGAACCCCTTCACACCCTCACAATGGTCATATGATCAGGAGCAGATCGATTTCTCTGCGTTGAACCCTTTCACACGCTCACAGCGGTCATATGATCAGGCGGAGATCGATTTCTCTGCGTTGAACCCCTTCACACCCTCACAGCGATCATTTGATCGGGAGCAGATCGATTTACCTGTGTTGAACCCCTTCACACCTTCACTGCCGTTATATGATTGGGCAGAGATCGATTTCTCTGCATTGAAACCCCTTCACACACTCACAGCGATCATTTGATCGGGAGCAGATCGATTTCCCTGTGTTGAACCCATTCACACCTTCACAGCGGTCATATGATCGGGAGTTGTCTTGTTGGCTCTTGATCAGAAACCATGAATGAGAACTGTCTGACATCTCAGTCAGTGTGCCAAGAGCATGCACTCTCACCATGCAACGTTCATGAACACATATGTGCGGTGACAGGGCGTTAAAGCCCACCTTTCTTGTCACTTCATATATGCATTACACGGTTGGCTAAAGGTGAAATAAGAGGCATGGGTACAAGGGTGGCCTAACTGCTAGAAGATGACCTCTGATATGCATTCTTTTATTTTCCAGTAATGATAAAGGTTTCTGGTTAAAACAGTTGCTTGTGTCAGCACGTTTCCTTCAGTTACAAATTGCACATTATGTCCCCAATACTTACTAATCAAAACTGAAACAAGTCAATGAAATCTATCAGATGGTATTTTTATGGCTGGCTTTAGTCACTAGAGGAATGTGAGATTTTGCAGCACTGACAAATGTGGCGGCTTCGGCCATAGCATGGCAGTTAGTGAGAGGTGGGTGCACAGCAGCTGGTGGCATTCCTGGCATAGCAAAGGCACCCAGGACACTCCCTGTTCTGACTGCTGCCGGGTGGGGAGATTGTGGGGGCTTTTCAGGATTCCAAGAGGATGAGACGAGGGACACTTGCTACACGTATGCTGCCTGCCCAGAGCCCAAAACACATGAAATCTGTACAACATGAGCACTGGTTGAAGAAAGGGAGAAAGATTCCAGGATTGCTGGTCATCATACAGGATCTTAGTTTCAATTAAACTTTTACTAAAGAAATATTTTCTTATGACACAAGTGACATTTGTACATTACACAGGTATAGACAACAGAATCGCAATATGTGGTCCAAAAATTCAAAAATGTTGAGACCTGTTATATATATATATATATATATGCATACACACATACACTGTATATACAGCATATATACCCTCATGTAAATGAAAAAAAAGGAAAAACATTACAAATACTATTTTTTGTCCACTCATTTTAGCTATAACTAAACTGACACCTATGTATCCCATTAAAGTGACATTTAATAACCCCAATGCTTTCTTAAATATTACTGATGGGAAGTCTTAAGACTTATCCACACAGATGTACTTAAAGCGATTCTAAAGGTTCATATTTGTTTTAGTAAAATAACAAACGTGTCTATACTTACCTGCTGTGTGCAGTGGATCCTCCTCTTCTCGGAACCCCTGCAGGCTCTCCTGGCTCCTCCTGTTTGTCGGGTGCCCCCACAGCA